GACCCCGCAGCCCCCCAGCACAGCCCCTGTCTGTCTGCTGGCCATCCTTGTCCTGGGCTGCCCCTCAAGGCATTTCTAAAGACATTGTTCTTGGGTGGTGTCCATTTTCTCATTCAGAGGGTTTGTGACTGGAACCTTCTCTGTTGATGGACAGTCCTGGCATTTAGATTGCAGCAAAAGTGTTCCTTTTTTAAAACAAAAACGGAATAAATAACACACTTGCAAATGCATTTATGCACATTGCCCTCCTCGCATTGCTCAGTGTCCCTTTCAGTCTTAATCACTTTAAAAACAAACCCGGCAGGCTGTGTTCATCTTTCTGCATCCTGCATGACATCAAAGAACTTTTGTTCGCTTCCAGTCGTAAAAACTGGAGAGGGCTGTAAAAGTGTCATAAAAGTGTCCCTTTTGCCAAGCTGGAAAAATCCGTTTGGAAAAAGGAATGTTTTTAATACCCTGCCGGGTTTGTTGTTAATGTGACAAGGCTCTCAGTCTGTGTGTTCTTGGTTTCAGTGATTACATTGCAAACATCCATCTTATCTCTCCTCTGTACCCAAAAGCTAGCATTAGGAGTCCCTTTGGGCACACAGCCGTTAAGGTCAGCCTCTGTGCCACCCACATTGTCCTCAGAGTTGGGGCCAGGCAGCTCCATAGTGGCTCTTCCTGACCCTTTAAAATGGGAAGCTGGAGGAAGACAGTGGGCAGAGAATGTGCCCCATGCCCCTTATAGCCCTGGAGCGCCTGGAAGGGCAGCCCAGATTGACCGCAGCCCCATCCCCTTCCACAGACAGCCCTGCATTGGGCAGCCAAGCACGGCCAAGAGGACCTGGTCACTCTTCTTCTGGACGCTGGAGCTGATGTCAACCTGCGAGCAGTGAGTCCTACCAGTTGGGTGGCCGGACTGGTCATGGAGTGTTAGGTTTGATTTGGGGGGAGGGCTTTTTATCCTTAGCGCTCCCAGGAAGAGAGGAGTGCAATTTGGATGGTAATCATTGCCTCTTCTTCCCCCATACGCTTCCCTGTCGCTCTTGGGATGCCGTTGACCCTTCTGCCCACCGGAAGCATGTGAGTAGACCTCTCTTCCTTCTCCAGCCCTTCCTCCCGGCACCTGTGAACATATCAGCCAGCGTCCCATTAATGACACACACAGGTGTAACTAGCATCACACATGTGGAGAGGGGTATTTTTTGGACCACCTGCAACGGTCACATCCCCCTGACAGCCGTGTAAAGTTGTGCTTGCAGGACCCTTGTGCATGCGGTAGTGCATTGAAGTTCCCAGAGTAACCTGTGCCTCTGTGCATTGCCCCTGCACATTGCACACTCCTCTTTCACTACAGGTGGTCAGCCATGCATGTTGACCACCGATCCGCACACCTTGAGCTACGCTGGCATTCAGCACATGGGTTGCATAATGTAACTCCGCGGGCGGATATTTATGTTGTGATGAAGCAATGCAGGATCTCATCTGTTTGAAACAGTGCCCAGTTGTTCGGCCCCTCCGGGGGGGGGGCAGTTGATTCTTCTGGGGGCAAGGGTTGTACAGGGAGGGGGGTCTCCATGCCTGTGTCAGTTGCAGAAATAATGCAGTTTGACACTTCTTTAGACACCCTGGTTCAATGCCATGGAATTCTGGGATTTGTAGTTTTGTGAGCTATTGAGCCTTCTTTGTCAGAGTGCTGTGGTGCTACAACAAACAACAAATCCCAGGATTCCATAGCATGAAGCCAGAGTAGTTAAAGCGGTGTCAAGCTGCATTACTTCTGCATTGCAGATGCAGCCTATGC